ACCTCTATGCCATGTCAGATGTTGTAGCAGAAAAATCTGAAGTGATTCAGATCTCAAATGATTACTTCTTCAGAAAAACCCATCAACATGGTATGGTGCTGACAAACCTTGAAACATAATTCAATCATGCTTGGATTCAAACCATGATCTGGTATCCCTAAGGGAGGTAACTCTGCACAAAGTATCATATTTTCTTTGAGGATTGGACCTACTGTACTCAGGCTTGACCCATCATATCAAAACCCAAATTGTGTTTCACAATATGGTCACTGTGACAGGCACCGTTCTTTTTCACGTTCAAATACTTTGCAGTGTTAAATAATGGAGAAATCATGAAAATCTGTTATTTTGCATGGAGATAATCAACAAGCCCCCATTTAAGCCATATTATGGTTGATATTGCAGCTGTAGATTTACGTGATGACCTATATGACTCAGTTTTCCTCGTTAATATGCACATTTGAAATAGCCAGTGAATTCCTGGATCAGAATCAACTTTTAACAACAATAGTGTGATGTCATCATATTTGCCATTTCAGTAAAATTCACCTGGCTGATTCCCCATCGATATTTGCAGACTCATAGGGGTTTTATCAGAGAATCTTTCAGACGAACAGTCTTTGACAAAGCAATTAGCATAAGGCAATAGTGAAGGATGAGAATAGCAACATCAGTGAAAGGTGTGCTTGTACTGATGATGAAGGACTCCTGCACCCAGCACAGCTCCCCCTAGTGGCCTCTTACCACATTAACAGTCAAGGGATCTAACTGCATCAGTTGCAGCATCCTGTGCATCATGTTCCTCAAGAGTATTATGTAGTGATATTGTTACAAGAAGTGTTTCACCTAAACTTTTCATCATAAGGAATCCATATATGGGCTGTGCCATTTATGAATGGGTGTTCTTGCACACAAATCAGAGTCAAACTCAGAGGGTTTTTTAGTAATGAATGGGAAAAGTTACTTCTATAGAATCATAGAATTTTTGTTTGGATATCTGAATGTAAAATAAATTTCAATGAAGATTCTGGATGCTCTCCTTTCAGATTTCCATGAATGAAGATTGTCATTTGACTCTATACTTTCTAATTTGCATGTCAAAAAGGGACTTTGAAAGTGAGAAAGATCTTGAAAATTTCAAAACTTTTTTTCAGATATGAGATTCAAGTAGAACACATTCCAGTCATGCTGGTCCGTTAAGGTTTGAAATTACATTATACATGTTGAGGGCCATGCACATTTGGTTATCCTGACTAGACCTGTATATATATACTATAAGCAATCAGCTGGTATTGGGCAACGTCAGTCAATATTGATTCTAGACCCAACAGGCAGTACAGAATTATAGCCGTGTGAGCTTATTTACTTCCATGTTGAATATATCCCAAGTTTAAAATTAGCAGTGTTAAAAATAAGCGTTGCCTGCTCAACAAGTTTTACTGGTCATCAGCTGTGAAAGTTTGAGAATTCTTCATAACATGATGTTCAATTTGAGTATTGTATTGCTTTACTGCGTTGAGGGGAGTATTTGTTTCAAGAAGGTTAATTAAGTTTGAAGGAGCATTTCAGTGAAGGCAATATTATATTATCTCACAAAACAAAGTTAGTAGATTTAAAGTACCATTTAGAGCATTATGTAATGGAAGTCTTTCGTAATAACCAAACATTTCTGGCGTTGTCTGTTCATATGCTGTTAACTCAGACTTAGGAGGCCACTAAGGATTGTTTGTTTGGCTTGGTGACATATTGATGAATGTCATTATATTCCAGTATTGTAGACTGTTGCTCATGACGTCAATCACTGGATTGTCTGACCCAAATTGTATGATTTTGTTTTTCAAACAATAAATTACCCATGAAGGTCCAGGTTAGAATACTGATCTTCAGTAACCCATGCTTGACGTAAGAGGCAACTAACGGGATCGAGTGGTCAGACTCGTTGACTTGGTTGCCACATGTCATTGGTTTTCTATTGCGCAGATCGATGCTCATGTTGTTGATGACTGGGTTGTCTGGTCCAGACTTGATTATTTACAGACCGCCGCCATGTAGCTGGAATATTGCTGAGTGCGGCGTAAAACTAAACTCACTCACTCCCAACAATAAATTATGTGCTGGGCATTATGGGTGCCCAGAAGTGTCGAACATTTAATAACAACTGTCACGTCAAGTGCTTACAGATTGCATATGTCAGACATGATTGTCTCCCTTTAGATGTATTGCATCATCACCACCATTGTCAAGTGGGTATGGTTTAAGGCTTGTTAGTCCAGCAATATCATAGAAGGGGACACCAGAAATGGGTTTCATACCTTGTACCCATGTGGGGAATTAAACCTGGGTCTTTAGCGTAAAGAGCAAACACTTCAACCCCTCAGTTACCCCAACGCCCCTGTCAAGTGGCACAAGCTTCATATTGTGTCCTCACAATGTGTTGTGTAGCTAGTAGTCTGTACAATGTCGAGTTGACTTGAAACTTCAACAGCATATCTTTATCAGGGTTCTCATTGTGTAAACAGTCGAACAAAATCACTTTGAGTGGCATGTTACTTCTAAAATAGAACATTTACTTACACTAGATTTCCTTTGTGAAGACTTTTGAATGATTGCAAGGCTGAGTATAATGGTATGACCATGCATGACATCATTTAGATCATACGGCGGTGAATATTAATACTCCTGGGCTCTTCAGAATTTACTGCTTTTGTGTTTGACCCACAAGCATATTGAACTTTTGACACATGTGTATAAAAGAAAGCTATAGACCCTTAAATTCTATTTTCTAATTCGAATACAGGGTATATATATGTATAGATATACACATGTCATGACACGTTGCTGGAGACATAATGTGTGGCTGTGATTATCAGCTGCTGGCTTGCAAGGCTCCACTCAGCAACATAAACACTAGCCTGAAGCCCAAGTCAAGCAAAGTTCTGTGTGGTCAAGTAAATCAGATGTAATTCCGCTCAATATTTGACACTTTGATGCTTTTTAACATGATGGTATCTTATGGAAAGATTGATCTTTGACCAAAGCTTTCAGTTGATCTTCAGACAACTAGAATCCTTCAAGAACAATTATGGGCATCAAATGGAAAATGCATGTTTTATTCTTAATAATTCTGAAATGTCGCTGGTCTGGAACTGAGATTTTCTAAACCAAAACTTGTTGGCCAAAACAGGATAAAAGATGAAATTGTGCTAAACATTTGTTGACAAAGATGTTCACAAGGAAACTAAAAAAATCATATAGTTTATTTGTTCCAGTGATTTTTCCTGAGAATACAAAAGTGCATGCAACTCTGATGTCTATTTTTTTTCATTTTTATGTTTGATTGATTTATAGCTATGGAAGATGTTGAGGCATCATGGTAGCCTGAAGAACTTGTCACAAAGTCCTGACATTCCTTAGGATACGAGCTGTAATTGTTTAGCGTTATCTAAATGAGTTGGGTGAAACTCACTCACTTCAAGATTCAGTTCTGCCTGTATTCTACGTGGTGTTGACTCCAAGTAAAACTAGCACAACACAGATCAAGTACTTTGAAAACTTGAATGGTGCCAAGTTCACAGTAATCTTCTGGGATGTTTCCAAGATTGTCTCACATCAGTTACACATTTCTTATAGACACTTGGTACTTGTGGAAAATCTAGAAGTAGTCTTTACTGAAGAAGAATGTAAATTAAATGATTTACATGAATCTCTGAGTATGTGTATGCCATTACAATATCTTCACAAATTTTTGTTGTTGGCAATAGATATATTTCTGTGTAGACTTACCGGTACTTCCCTGAGTCATCCCAGGTCATCATGGGTTTCAATCCAAACTTTGTCCTGAATATAAGTTTTGGTTGTCAGAACCATACCTGTATTGCTGTATTCTAATGTCATCAATACTTCTGGAAGATGTGAAAGTACTCTTTACTGTTGAGGAAAGAAAATGAAGTGATGTACATAAATCCCTGAGTATGTGTATTCCATCATAGCGTCTTCATGCTCAGGTAATATGATTTATAGCTTGTTGTTGTTGGCATTAAATATATTCCTGTGCAGGCTGACTTCCCTGAATCTTGTTCATCATGGCTTTGAACCCAGGATGTGTCCTGATTATGAGTTTTGAGAACCATTCCTATGTTCCCCTGTTCTGGAAGGTCATTGATTGTTTCGCCTTTGCATGTGTTTGTGACAGGTGTTACTAGTGGAACAGGTGTACTCAGAATTATTGCTTTTAGCAGGGTTTTCTTATGAATATGGAAAGGCTTTGTCTCAAAATGTTCAAAGCAGTTGCACTTTTGAGCTAAGAATTTGATGAACTTTGTGAATGAACAGGAAGATGTTGAAGAATAACATATGTATGATTCACACTATCCCATTCAGCTAGTCTGTTTGATCATTTGACTTCAGTAAGATGAGCACATGCCCGTATTTGGGTAGATTGGATATATTCTAATGTCATCAATAGCAGAATCATTGAGCATTATATATGATGATATTATCTCCTCCTCAGGCACTGGATTAGGAGATCTAGACATAAGTGAAGAAGTGCTTTGGTTTTTCTCCTTGATCAAACTGACATACTGTAATAAATAATGTTCAAAGTGGCACCTTTCCAAAATGCATCTCAACTTGTTATGGGGAGCAGAGTTGTAACCTCTGCATCTTCATTCTTTTCTCTTTCAGCTCCCTTGATTCATCTATGTTTGAGCTTGCCAGAATGATGTGATTATGATTTCTCATTTTTCTTCAAAATGTTGAAGTTATTCACTGCGGTTGAGCAAGCGTAGACTGATTGTGATTGTTATTTCTGCAGACAATGCCCACTTATCAAAGGACCAGATACCTCTAGGAAGCACAGTTGTAACCTCTTCATCTTCATTCCTTTCTCTTTCAGCATCCTTGATCCAACTATGTTTGAACCTGCCAAAATGGTGTGATTATGATTTGTCATTTTTCGTTGAGGTGGAGCAAGTGTTGACGGATTTTGTCTGTTTTTTCAGGAGATAATGCCCACCTTTCCAAGGACCAGATACCTCTGGCTGATGCCGAGGACCCGGAATCTCCGTTTGCCAATCATATGGCACTGTATGAGGTGAGTAAATAACCTTCCTCTCATCAACATGAAACACATACAGAGTTATGGCACTTTTCTGTGACTGGATCCTATGATCATGGCACTTTTGAAGATCGGGGTTAGAATTGGTCTTCAGTAACCCATGCTTGTCGTAAGAGGCAACGGGTTCAGGTGGTCAAGCTCGTTGACTTGGTTGACACATGTCATCGCATCCCAGTTGCGTAGATCAATGTTCACGCTGTTGATCACTGGATTGTGTGGCCCAGACTTGATTATTTACAGACCGCCACCATATAGCGGGAATATTGCTGAGTGTGGCGTTTAACAACAAACAAACCAATCTGATCATGGCTCTCAAATCTCAGACTCTCCTAGAATACAATCCCCTGATTGTCCCCATGTACCTGTTGGTTTTGTGGAAGTGGTAACACTAATGTTAATATTAATTGGCAGGCTATAATATTATTCATACCAACTGTCTGATAGAATTGGAATTAAACCCAACTCACTCCCATTACTCATGACCTGGGATGTTGGAGAATAATCAGGTCCCCAGCAATCAAGATTGTTCTTGTTCAAATTTATAGAAAACAAAAATTATAAGCGTAAACTTTCCCTCTGGATTATGGTTGCCTTAATTCTGTGGTTCCCACAGTCACATACAGAAAATAAAATGAAAAATTTTAAACCCTAAGTCATAGCTATCCCTATTGGTAGGCTTACTCTCTTAACCCCAAGAGTTACCTCCCCTTGACATGACGTCATCCTATTGTCTGTTTGAAAACCTCACAAGTTTTCTGTATGCACTACAGTCAACACGTACAGAAGTGAAGTGAAAAATTTTCAACTTTACACAGCCTTCTGCACTAGATTCATCGTAGTAGGTTAGTGGTGTCGACATTTGGTCCGACGGACAATCGTATTTATATTATTTTATGTTCTATGTTGCTTTATTTTCCCGCCCTTTTTTCCTTAGTTTTTCAGGAAGATATGACTAAAAACAAGTGTGTCCAATGCCAAAAGTTCATACCCGATCTTGACCCTCATTCCTTATGTGTAGCATGTTTTTCGGGTATCCCATGCACATTAGTAGATCTCTGTTTATTATAGAAAACAAAATTTCAGAGGATGAGAAAGTTTGTTAAACTACAGTACAGTTCTTTAGTTTGACACTTCAAATTTAACTTCAAAGCAATTTAATGTACCTTACTTAAAAGTTTCAAATGTAAAATTAAGAAGTAACATATGTTATATTTAGGAATCATAAATTACAAAGTTTAAAATCAATGATAAGACATCTAAACCTCATCTTTAAAGTTTATATCCATTCCATTACAAGAAGAAATGTCAGTTCTTTAACAAGCTAACGAGTTATGTGGCATTTATTCTGAGAAGGCCTCCAGATGGAATGTTAAATTGGCTTTTAAACCAAGTGGTCCTCTTTGTATACTTAAAGCATGGATCGTCTTTGCTCAAGTAATGAGAGACATTCAGACAATCAATGGAAACTACTTCGTTTGAGGAAAGAGGAAATACTGACACAACAGGAAATCCTTGTAAGGCTTCATTAGATATGACGCAACTATATTACTCAAAAGAAGTTAGGACACTTAATTCTTTCATGTTACACTAGTTAATCTGTCATGGCTGGTATTTAAGAACCGATGTTACAGTACTTCATCTGTCAAAGCATGGCAGATTCACTGTGGTAATATGACAGAATCTGTTGTTTAACTTCTTCTGATAAGCATATTATGCCTGAACATTCAAGCAGTTGGGCATTAAATACACCACGTCAGAGACTGAGACAGTAGAGACCTTAAATTATCATACTTTTAAAAAAATGCATTTTCAAACATGCTTTCAATATTTGATCATCGCTGGGATGCTGAGTCAGAATTTTATGACAGTCCCCCATGTGAAATGGGGATCAGGTTGAAGTGCGTGGTGCTCTGTCATCTCTCTAATGATCTCAACCATTGGTTTACCCTGTGATGTCAACCATTGGTTTACCCTGTGATGTCAACCATTGGTTTGTCCTGTGATGTTAACCATTGGTTTACCCTGTGATGTCAACCATTGGTTTATCCTGTGATGTCAACCATTGGCTGGCAATATGATCTCAACCATTGGCATGTCCGGTGATGTCAAACATTGGCTTGCGATATGATCTCAACAATTGGTTTACCCTGTGATGTCAAACATTGGCTTGCCCTGTGATGTCAACCATTGGCATGTCCGGTGATGTCAACCATTGGCTTGCAATATGATCTCAACCATTGGTTTACCCTGTGATGTCAAACATTGGCTTGTCATATGATGTCAAACATTGGCTTGCCCTGTGATGTCAACCATTGGTTTAACTTGTGATGTCAACCATTGCCCTGTGATGTCAACCATTGATTTACCTTGTGATGTCAACCATTGGTTTAACTTGTGATGTCAACCATTGGTTTACCTTCTGATGTCAACCATTGGTTTACCTTGTGATGTCAACCATTGCCCTGTGATGTCAACCATTGGTTTACCTTGTGATGTCAACCATTGGTTTGCCCTGTGATGTCAACCATTGGTTTACCTTGTGATGTCAACCATTGGTTTACCTTGTGATGTCAACCATTGCCCTGTGATGTCAACCATTGGTTTGCCCTGTGATGTCAACCATTGGTTTACCTTGTGATGTCAACCATTGGTTTACCTTGTGATGTCAACCATTGCCCTGTGATGTCAACCATTGGTTTACCTTGTGATGTCAACCATTGGTTTGCCCTGTGATGTCAACCATTGGTTAAACTTGTGATGTCAACCATTGCCCTGTGATGTCGACCATTGGTTTAACTTGTGATGTCAACCATTTCCCTGTGATGTCAACCATTGGTTTACCTTCTGATGTCAACCATTGGTTTAACTTGTGATGTCAACCATTGCCCTGTGATGTCAACCATTGGTTTACCTTGTGATGTCAACCATTGGTTTGCCCTGTGATGTCAACCATTGGTTTACCTTGTGATGTCAACCATTGCCCTGTGATGTCAACCATTGGTTTACCTTGTGATGTCAACCATTGGTTTACCTTGTGATGTCAACCATTGGTTTACCCTGTGATGTCAACCATTGGTTTACCTTGTGATGTCAACCATTGCCCAGTGATGTCAACCATTGGTTTAACTTGTGATGTCAACCATTGTCAACCATTGCCCTGTGATGTCAACCATTGGTTTAACTTGTGATGTCAACCATTGATCTGTGATGTCAACCATTGCCCTGTGATGTCAACCATTGGTTTAACTTGTGATGTCAACCATTGATCTGTGATGTCAACCATTGCCCTGTGATGTCAACCATTGCCCTGTGATGTCAACCATTGATTTGTGATGTCAACCATTGCCCTGTGATGTCAACCATTGATCTGTGATGTCAACCATTGCCCTGTGATGTTAACCATTGCCCTGTGATGTCAACCATTGCCCTGTGATGTCAACCATTGATTTGTGATGTCAACCATTGCCCTGTGATGTCAACCATTGCCCTGTGATGTCAACCATTGATTTGTGATGTCAACCATTGCCCTGTGATGTCAACCATTGCCCTGTGATGTCAACCATTGGCTTGCCCTGTGATGGTATGCCCTGCCCAAATTTCAGCATCTGCAGGTTGGCATGACTATTGCTGACTGTGACATAAAGCAACACCCACTCATTCTGCCCCCACACTCATTGACTTGACATCAACATGTGGTGCTGAAAGATGGAATGATCCTCCACCAAGCCATTATCAGCTCCACAGATGCAAACATCAACACTGACTGGTTCATGGTCAATTTACAGTGTATTCAGATTAGATATGAGTTGTCAAATTGGTTTCCTCTCAGTTTACTTTGGTCCAGTGATGTACACACCATGGAAACAGCCAAACAGTAGACAAGGAAAATATTGGGAGGGTATCTCCTGGTCTTCATGACATTTTGATCACAACCACAGTTGAGATAATTCCTGACAAGCTTAGCTTCATGTCCTTTAAGAATGAGATATGTACTGATTCCAACCTCAGAGTGTTTTTCAACAGTGCTGCAACTAATTTTCTGCTTAAATATAGAACACTAAAACTGTGGCGGTATCGGTATATGAGTTATATAGAAATAAATATGTACATCTCCAAACAGTCTGTGATGTAGACTTGCACAAGTCTTATAAGGCAATAATTATTACGTGTAAGCAGAATTGCTTGATAATATACATGATAATATTCATGATATATATGATAGGAACAACTATTCCCCACAAGTATCTGTTCAGCTTATCTAGACATGTCTATTATAAGGATAAACTCACTGACAACCATGCAATTATCATTCAGTACAGCCTGAGAGCAAGTCTAGTGGGTTAGAATTGGCCTAAGCAACACATGCTTGTCGTGAGAGGCAACTGGCGGGATTGGGTGGTCAGGCTCACTGACTTGGTTGACAAGTATCCTGATTGTGTAGATCATTGCTCATGATGTTGATCACTGTATTGTCTGGCCCTGACTTGGTTATTTACAGACCGACACTATATAGCTGGCTTAGTGTGGTGTTAAGCAACAAACAAACAGAGATACAAATTTTGTGTCAGCTGACATGTATCTGAGTCTGCACAGCAACTTGCTTGGAGGTGAGGTGAGGTGAGGTGAGGTGAAATTGGGTTTAACGTCATGCTTGAGAATATTTCGCTCATATGATGACGTGCATGTGTGTATGTGTATGTGCGGCTGCTTGTACCAGCCCAGACTTAAGCTGGTTTTATAGTGCTAGCCCACTGAGATACCATGCCCCAGTGAAGCATGAATACCCCACTCAGACACATTATACTGACTCCAAGCCAACCAGTCCTTGTTGTACCCATTAATGCCGAGCGCCAGGCAGGGACCAACAAGTACCATATTTTAACGTCTTTTGGTATGACGCAGTCGGGGATCGAACCCGCGACCTTCCGCTCTCCGCGGGCGGACGCTCTAACCACTACACCACAGAGGCGGTCAAC